TGCGAATGCAAAGTCAAAAAGTCTCTCTCTCTCTCTCTCTTTAGTGTTGCGCTCCCTGCATCAATGTTGGCACTGACCTTTGCTCGCTGCTGTGGCCAGTTTACTGATTGAATGAACTATAGACTATACTATAGACTATCACCATTCGACGGACCCTGTTTGACCAAGCACGGCAAGTTCAGCAGAGCCTTGAACAAGGATAATGGTGGAAATCTGCTCAGAGCGGCACAAATCCTTTAGCGGTTTGTCCTCAACTCCTGCTGGGCGCGGCTAGGCCAAACATGGCCAGACATTCGGCAGCATGCAGCTTGAAAGAATGCCGAAGCTTGACATGGCTTTCCTCGAAGATCTATCTCCACTTTAGATCCACGGGAGCCTTAGCAAGGCTCCAGAAGCGTAGCAAAACATCTCGGCTACGTGTCCAAGCGTGGACTCAGCCCCGGTCGCATCGTGACGGTCGGGTACGCCAGTGAAATTTGCCAGCGGCCTGGCCTTCAGCCCCCGACCAACTCATAGGATGCATGCTACACTGCTACGCAAAAGCGGCTTGTTCTCCGAGGCAAAGACATTTCGAGGATGTGCTCGAACTGCTCTCCGGCATGCTTGAAGTACACGTCTTGGCTGAAGCAGTTCATAAACATTTGTGGCGCTGCTTCTTATACCTGTGACCCCGGGCTCCAACACCAAGCTAGTAATTACCAAACGTTTGGACAGCATGCCACTGTATCCCAACCACCACAGGCACCGCAACCAGGTCCGCAGCACACCACAACTACGACCACGTCACGTCGTCGTGGGGTGGATTCGGACTGGGACTTTCAGTCCTGGGTCGTCCTACCCGACACGGAGGCATCGACATATTGACCGGAACGAAAGAAACGTTTGACGACCGAGACACTTGGAAGTGACCGAGACAGCTGCCTCAGCAATAGGTCCACATGGCCAGCCCACGAGCCCGAACACATACATACCCTCAAAGGATTCACAAAAACGCTCACAAATCGCTTCACCGCCAATACCATCAATTACCACTCTACCGACACGAAATGTCTGTACAACGGAAGAATAGAACAAGAATAAACTAAAACCGGGGAGAGTACTGGCGCCAACTGTTAAACCACACTCGATCTCGTCGCCGACGGACCACCGATCGCTGCACCTGCAATGCAACTCGACAATGGCAGGATCGCCTGCAATAGCATTCTTTTCGTTTTTACATGCTTCATAGTGAAAAGAACTTACTGTTGAATCTGAAGCTTGGGTCTGCACTGTTCTTTCGAAACGTGGCCTGGCACCAGCGTTACCGAACGACGATCTGGAACAGTACAATCTCGCTCCAGACACACATGTGTCGCTAAAACAAGTCCAAAAATCCGTTGACGAAGGATTTTCCATGACCGCCATGAAAACCGACCTTGGACGAACGACAGGAAACTTCCGATCAAGGACAAAGCCGCTTGGGCGCAAGCCTCGCCACGAGACCTGGCTTGTGCTTCATTCATACTTGCCACGGCAGCAAGCTGGATCCGGCACCATCCGACCATGTCGCGATTGATGGTCTGTTCGCGTGCCTGCGGACACTCTTTTGAGGCCGTCAAGGACGTCTTTCCAAAACAACAGTTGTACTTGACTACAACGGACGAATCCCACCTGGCCCGGTGCACAAAGACCAATAGCAATCTCACCAAACCTCGGCCCAGCATTCCTGTCCTGGCATGATGCTGTGTAGTCGACTCGCCCGCCAAGAGACGTCCCCAAATGCAACACGCGAAGCTTGAAGCTCTCGCCCGGTGACAACGGCACCCTTAGACATCACATGCTGTCGATCGCGATCGGTTGGTGCTGCCAGGCTGGCTCAGCCTCAGACGAGCCTTGGGCGGTGCAGACTCCGTTTTGGATGCTCGGGCAGCTGGCACTGAATACACCGGCAGGTCCTTGGCAGCGCTGTTGGTGCCAAAATATCTCTTGCCACGATCGTGCCTTACAGGCCTGATGGCACTAGGTCAGCGCCTACCGACCTCATGCATCGATTGTTTCGCAAATCCGCGATTGCAGGTCATCCCCCCCCAAATTAGCGCCGCGCGTAAGTTCCACGAACTTCTCACTTTCGGAATGGATTCCATCAGGAATTTTAGAAATTTGCAGCTCCTGCAACCAGACGCTACATCGTGCTGACGTCACCACTGAAATGCCAGATGCCGATGCACAACAACATGCGAGGTCACCGGCAGGTGAGCTGCCACCGCCGCAGACATGCATGCAGAAAACCCCGGGGCCAGATGGTGTCACACCCTCGTTGGTCATACCTATCCCTGTTGTTCCTCCAACTCTCGGCGTGAACAATGCACCTAGCAATTTGAGCCCGTGTATCATCTGCGAGTGCGCTCTGCGTGCATCTACACTACATTACATGCAACACATTGACTGACAAGGTCATTCTTCGCGTTCAGTGAGTCCTAAGAGCGGGCGGGTCACCAGCAGCACCGAGCTCAGCAGCGGGAGGAAGCTCAAGGAGCGAAGTGGCGAAGGCTCGCTGCGCGGCAACCGAGGGGATGCCACTCCAGCGGTGCACCCAAGCCGCTTGAGCAGCGCGTCGCACAGCGGCAGGGGCGCTGGCTGCGCGGGCTTGCGCGAGAAATCGAAGGAATGTCTAGGCTTCCTCACTCCAACGCCCACCTGTTTCAATGCCGAAAACGACAAGCGGCAGCGGCGGGCACGGAGCAGTTTTTTTTTTCCGCCGCTTGCGCTGTGCCGCGCGGGCTAGCGCGACTCCGGGCTGCGCATCGGCGTGGGGAGACGAGTGTGATTTTCATGTCAGCGACGCGAACCTTAGGCGGCACTTAGGCGCGACACACGCGCCGGCTGCGCGGCAGACGCGGGCGAGGGCGTGCTCGAGCGGGACGGCCGAGTCGGAAGGACACCTGAGGTGGCACGGGCGGCTCAGTGGTCCCGCAGGGCGGTCGGGGTTTCGACCACAGCGGCATGTGCGGAGCAGAGGGCCAAGGGTAAACGCAGCCCCCGGAGCAACAGAACCGGTGGCATCCCGAGCAGGAGCACGGAAGCCCAACGTGAGTTGCAGCTTGGGCCACTTCGATCTGCGACGACTGGCACACGGCCGCTACTGGCCAGGCACCTGTCCATACAGCTAACAGCATCGGAATCACCCTGCACGTCGGCGATGCCTAGCGGCTCCTCCCCAGCCGCATTCCATACACGGGCTTCGCCACGGTTGAGCTCAACATGGGCATGTCGCCACAAGGCGGCGCGCAAGGCATCGTACAGTGTGCGTACCTTGTCAGGGGACAACGACATACATGTCGTCAAAGAACGCGGAGATGGCCTCTCCGTCTCGCAGCTCTCCTGAGCTATCGTCATCGCCAATCCAGTTCGGGCTTGCGGCCTGGTGAAAGGCCTTTGCGCTGCAACACCATTTCGCCGAGCCGACAAAGCACCTGAGGGTGACGTTGCCGCGGAGCGCTCGCAGGAGGTGCCGCTTGGTGGTCGTCGGCATTGGCAGGTTTGGCTCCGACCCGCGCTCGCTGCGACCCTCTGCCATCACAGCTTGGGTCGCGCGCTGGTCCGGCCTTTTGGCCGTTGCGGCGCAGCGCGCTCTTGCTGCGTCTCTCCTGGAGCTTCCCCCTGCCGCTGAGCTCGGAGAGGGGCCCGAGCCCGAGCTGCACCAAATCCTTGCCGATGCGCGCTGGGACGTCGCCTTGCTGGCCTCGTCCAGTTCTGGCTGCGCCGGCCCTGCCCAGTAGGCCGTGCTTGCACCGGGACCCCTAACGCGAACCTGCCTGCGGACAAAACGGTGCGTAAAAAAAAAAGTCGCTGCCGTTGTATCGGAGCGCGCTCCGGGCGCCGCCCACGGCGCGGGCGAGGCGGAGGACGTCGTGGTCGCAAACGCGGACGCGGCATCTGGGAGCCTCCAGCCCCAGCCGTGCCAACCGGTACGGCATTGCCCATCCCATTCAGTGCAAAGATGAACCGCAAGAGACTTTCGTCAGACAGCAAGTCCACATCGTAGCGACGAGAGGCGAGCGTTGTAACGATGCGCGCCGCCGGTGCAGAAACAGACGGCAAGTACGAAGAGCATGGACGAGGCTCCAATCGGCACACCCACAAAAGGCATGGGTGATCCAAGTTGCGGCGGGCAACATGACCATTCAAGAGCAGATGGTGACCACACCTAACCAGTGTCCAGTCCCGCCTTACCGAGGATGGCAGGCGAGAGGCATGGCTGCAAGGTGAGAATCCAAATTCGGATGACATTGAGGGAAAGTGGCGAACGCAGCCACTTGCGATGCCTCAGCCCGGCGCAGGCGCAAGCCAACTCCATCAACAGCTGGCCGCACGCAACGATGTCGCCAGCGCCTAAACCAAACTCGCCGAGGAATGAGGGGGCAGGCGGTTGGCGATGACATCCTCCTGCCACCGAGCATGAGCACAGTGCCTTCACCAAGCTGGCCGAGGAAGAGCACAAGCAACGAAACGGCAAACGTTCGCTGCGCGGCTACCGCCTCAGGCCTGACCATCGCGCAACCCAGGGGCTGCCATCACGGGCGGAGGTGAACGGGGACGGCCTCAGCAAGCTGGCGAGCTAAACGCCGAGCAATTGGGCAGCCCCACGACGCAAAAATCTGGCGTGAAAGCCATGGAGTTTTCGAAGGAATGCTTTGTTCCGCCAGATTAGGAACCAATGCACGCATCGAAAATGCGAACCTTGCGAATGCGGTACTGCAAGCATGCGTCCAAACTCGATTCAATGTCCCCTGCATTATCAAGCAGATCACCCAGTTTTTTTTTGTCGCGCACCTTTTTCCGACTTGTCCGCCTGCGCGTCGGCGGAGCTAGCTGCCAGCTACATGACACCTACGGCGGCTCTGCCGGGAGCTCTCCCAGCGGCAGCTCTGCA